TTTCCATCTTTGTCCAGTCTCTCAGTCAGATGTTTCTCCTCCTCTGTTCAGGTCTTCTCCATGTGGAGCCATGATGCAGACATAGATAGACACAACAATCACTGCAGATTCACTTTGGTTCACTGAGTTTCTAATCTGGGCCTGGATTTTCAATAAAGTCTTTTGTAAAGGATTTGAACGTGTCCTTAAAGGGACAGTTCAACATTTAGCGACTCCTCTTTTTGTCGTTCTCTCTGAGTCACATGGTCAAACTGGTTCTATATGAAGTTATAGCAGCTGATCAGCCTAGTTTTGATGATTGACAGAAAACAGCTGGCTTAGGTTGACATACAGACCGGAAGCAGAGGAAGGCAGCTAGCTTAGCTTAGCATATAGACTGAAAACAAGGGATGCAACTAGCTTCACTTAGAATACAGAATGGAAAAAGAGGAAGCAACTAGCTTAGCTTGGCCTGAAGACTGGAAACAGGGAAGCAGCTAGCTTAGCTTCACATACAGACTGGAAACAGGAGAAAGAGCTAGCTTAGCTTAGAGTAAAGACTGGAAACAGCTGGATTACAGCTGGATCCAACATGGCGGTGGTGCTCCTGCAGGCTGAACTTTTCCTGTCTTCACAGATGCACTGGAGCCAAAATGGAGGACATGAACTCTTTGTGATAGCGTGGCAGTGTGTACAGGGGGGTGTTACCATGACGACAGTGCATCTGTTGTTGTTGTTCCTGTGGTGAATGTAAAAGTTCTTCATGTTGTGATGAGAGCTGCATGAATAAACTAAAGAGAAACACAACAGAGTGAGACATCTGTTCTTCTAACCCGTCTGTGTCCCTTCAGATAAACTACAGAACAACCACCGCCGTCATCCCAACTGCTTGTTTTGCTGTGTTTATTTTAATTAGGGAGTCGAAATGTCTTTCACTGTTTGTTGGTCCATCTGTAGAGTATAAGAAACACTCTGGTCCGCGGGCTCAGGCGTCTCGAGCACAGCACTCTATGAAAGGAGCAGCATGGTCATTTCATTTCAGCTAATGTTCGCTTGCTAGCTAGCGAGCTAGCTTAGAGTTTCTCAAACCCGCCATAAATATATTTTAGCAAAAACATACATATCAATACACTGTAATGAACATTCATGTGGCTGATAACACAGGGAAATCAAAAAACCATTCATCAGCCCGTTCGGTGCTCCACAACCCTAACCCTAACCCTACCTCGTGCACGCCTCTCAGGAACTGACAGCGCGGCACCGATGCCAGCAGCACACCACGGCCCTGAGGGGGCGCCACTGAGCCAACAACAACAAATTCATATGATACCCAAAATACAGCAAGTGGAATTATTTACATACCCACATATACACGTACAAATATACATATACATATATATACACATGCAGACACTCCTGATCAAAATCTTAAGACCAGTTAAAAAACTGCATGAATTTGCATTTTGCACTGTTGGATCTTAGGAAGGTTCTAAGTAGAGCTTCAAAATGCAAAAAGAAGAAACAGGAACAAGAGACCAGAAGCTGTGAGCCGGCAGTTTATTGAAACAACAATTTAACTCCAACAGG